TGTGTGTGTGTGTGTGTGTGTGTGTGTGTGTGTGTGTGTTCTTTTAATTCTCAGTCTCGCTCGAGGAAGGAAGAGAATCTGAACTTGACTTCCGTTCCCAGCCTGGAGTTTAAAAAAATAAAAACAGTGCCCTGTATAATTGTTTCACATTTGTTTTTCCGAAAGAAGCCTGATAGTCCTCTGAGCACCTGAGTGATCCTTGAGAGGGGGCCATGTAGGTGATAGCTAAGACGCGGCAGGATTTTCTCATAGGGAGGCACGATTTTCGTGACCAGGTGCTTGGCATTTATTTGGACGGTTTTTAAACTTTTCCTTGTCGGGCAGTTTTCCAGGGGAGAGAGTGGCCACCTTAACACGAGTTAAGAATGGTTGCAATGGTTCCGCAGTTGTCAGTGCCGAAGCTGTTCTCTATGGAGATGGTCTCCCTTTAAATAGGGTCCAGCCCTTAGAAGAACAGTGCTTCCATGGGAGGAGGCGGCAGGCTGTTTGGAAAGGAGCTCCACTGGCCGTGCCTCTGCAGTTTTGAAATAGGAGGTTTTATTTATTTATCTATCACCAGACGCAAAGTTCCATGTTTGTGAATGTTTGATAATACTCTTGGCTAGCCTGTGCATGTTCTTGCTTTCCTAGCTCTAGCCTTGTGCAGAGAGGAAGGTATTTAGACTCTGGATACTCTCGACTCTGCTTTAACCATTTAGATCTTTGATATCTGGAGAAAGGCCAGATTTTTTTGAACCTCAGTTTACTTTGACCGTGGGGTAGATTGTTATTCTGAGGGAACCATCGAGACCCTTGACTATCAAGTTCCTGGTCCTTATTACTTTAAAGACTTATTAAGTAAAGGGCAGCAAAGCTCATTGCAAATAATAGATGATTGATGAATAATAGCTGTTAGTTATTCATTTAGAACTTTTAATCGCTTGTGTTAATAGCACTGCATATTAAATAGGGACTATGCAGGTGATTACAAGTTGAGACATCCTTGGTTCTCATGAAGCCTTCGTTCTTGTACTGGTTTGCCACACTCTGAAAGATCTGAGTATTTTAAAGTGCTTGAGGAAGTTTTCCTTTGGCAGATGGTGCCTCCTTGAAAACATTAAGCCAGTTATGATGCCCGTTATTCATTTGAAGGAGTACACTGGTAGATTTAGCAATACTGTGCATACCTGTGTAAAACTGTGTGTTTCTGATTAGGACTTTATTAGACGGAAAAAGGACGAAATGGGCCCCCGCATTTCCATAACCAGAATCTCAGAAGCTTTGGATGAGGAGCAGTGAGCTGAGTTTTATGGCACACATCGTTGGTTCTGATATGGGTGATGCCTTGGTGAATAGTTCACCTTAAGTGAAAGAACCATCTCCATGCTTCTGAGGACAGTGTTAACATGGGTTCTGAAGCCTACACAAAAATGAATAAGGAAATTGTAAATGCTTTTGAAATTATATATATGTAATTGTATGTATAATGTATATTATATATATAATGACCTGTTAAAACTAGTAGTTGTTTCAAATGTATAGAGTGGTTTTATGTCTTGTAGATACAGAGCATACATGTGCACACACACTATATATATATAGTGTGTGTGTATATGTATGTATATACACTATACATATATGTATAAATACACATATATACACATACTGTGTGTGTGTGTGTGTGTGTGTGTGTGTGTGTGTGAGAGAGAGAGAGAGAGAGAGAGAGAGAGAGAGAGAGACCGAGATACCTGTCCAGATCAGAAAACAATTTTCTGGAGTTGATTCTCTCCTTCCACCATGTGGATTTTGGTTATTGAACTCAGGTTGTAAGGCTTAGTGGTAAGTGCTCTTACTGAGCCATCTCACTGCCTCAAGACTTAATTATTTTTAAATTTTAAAATTACATTATTTAGACCACTTTATTATTTCTATTTCAAGTTTTTACTTATATTACTAGGTTTCATCATTATACATTTTTCAAAGCACTTACAAGCTATTTACAGCCTTTTGTTGAGACAAAGTCTTAGCTACATATAGCTTTCAGGGTGGTCTTGAATAGGTTTCATATCTGTTAAAATTTTAGATGGTTTGTTTTGATCAAGTCAGTTTTTAATCTATATTTGCATGTAAACTTAATGGCCAGTTAAAACTAGTAGTTTCAAATTTATAGAGTGATTTTATGTCCTGTAGGTGTAGGACATTGTAGTCACCAGAGCAGGGTAATATTAGCTCTTAACTGTCCATTCTACGTATAAATAACTCATCATTCTATAGAGAAGATTGCTAGCCAGGGGAAGCTTGGGGAAACTATAGTATGGCTGGAGTGGAGGCAATCGAACTGGTTGCTGTTGTGCATTTGAATAAGAATGCAAAGGATATTGCATTCTATTCTTTAGATACTAATTTTGGAAGCCTTTTGCAAGGACTGGAGGAAACAAGCTAATGTGAAGAAGTGCCATCATCTTCCTACATAGTAAACATCTGTGTGCATATACTGGAACATTATTATGTTTGTAGGTGGACAAGATTTGTCATTCACTATTTTTAGAATCTAGTAATCAGGCAGTAGATTACAACTGGTTTCATTCTGAAATTTCGACTCCATTAGGCCTCAGCCTTTTTTCTTCAGCTCTAAAAATATTTGAAACCTTGATCATGGTATATCCAATTTTCAGTGAGCCTGAATTGTGCATACCTTTATAAAGTCCTGTTTCATGACTGAACAAGGTTCACCAGACAATTCATTTTGAACACAACCTTTGAACTAATTCTACCTTAAGTCACTTAACAGCTCTGTGTAGATGTAGATAGTATTTGCTTTGCATTTTTGGACCCATTTTAAATCAGTTTCTCAGATTTCTTTGAGCAAGTTATTTAAGTTCTCTAAGCCTAGTTTCTGCATAGGTAAAATGAGATTATCATACCTACCATAAATATGAAGCAAGATAGCTATTATATGTTAAAGAGAGTATATTAGAACAGTTCAAAGGAGTTTATAGTGTTGGTTATTTGTCTTAGATACTGGAAAATAGTCTCTCGAAAGAAATTTATGGGCAAGAAGTTTCTTGTGGAGTGCTCTTTGTGGGAGAAGGAAGGAGGCAGGATTTGTCAGAGGAGAGAGTTGACATGTGTTGTAGGTGCACCTGAGATAAAGGCTTTTCAGTGTATTTAAACCATGAGCTGTGAAGGCAGGGCCTCCCCTCTGTCTCTGTCTGTTTGTCTGTCTGTCTTAGTCGCTCACTCACTCACTCACTCACTCACTCACTCACTCACGTATTGTTGGGTATTTGGACTTAAGTTGCTCCCCTGGAGATGGTAGACCTTGGGGTGGCCTCTCTGCTGGAAAACTTACATGGAGAGGAACTTGTTTTCCTTACATTTACCAGGTTCTTCCTTTTGACTACCAGTGTCATTCACAGAGGGTAGTGTGGGATAAATAAACATGCCTCACTAACTGCTAAACAGGTTTTGTGGGCCAGACTGAGGGATAATCACTGTATAGCATTATTTTGATGGGAAGGTAGGTTTTGAGTCATGCATCAGTTTATAAGTACACTTATTTTTGAGTTCCACCTATTTTCTATGCACAGCATTTGTATTTTGCTTTATTTTTTGATCAGTAAATAAACATACCTTATAGCCAGGTTTGTAGTATATTTTAAATCTGTTGTTAAATATGTTTAAATATTTTAGACATTTATTTTATACATTTATTCATTTATACATTTATTTATACAATCATATGTTGTAAATTACTTGTATGAATCAGAAGGAAACTAAGAAATATTTGCTTGTTTTTCTTTTGTTTTTCCCCCACCCACCACTTTTATTTTATTTTTTTCTGAGACAGTTTTGCTTTTAGCCCAGGCTTTCTTCCCTCAGATCTGATTTCCTTGCTTTTGCCTCCTGAGTTCCCGAGTGTTTGAGTAACAGGCACGACCTCAACACCTGGCTGGACATTGCCTTTCCATGTTCGCCTTTTCAATAGGAATGGTGGAATTTTGCTTCACACATCCAGTAGTGCTTCTCTCTGTGCTTCTTACAGGATCAGTGATTAAATTATAGAGATTAAACTTTGTCAGATTTCCTATAAATCTAAGAATATAAAATATTCCTCAGAGAACTGAAGACAGATGACAAGATGTATATGTGTCACCAGTCCTAGCACAAAGGAGGCTGGAGAGAGAATTCTAGCCAGCCTGAGCTACACAAGAATCTATCTCAAAACCATAAACCAAACCATAACCAGGAGACAAAACTGGCAGTTACCTTGTAGCTTAGTCTTCTTATGAATTTACTTCAAGCTTTTAGTTGTGTGCAGTGAATTTAAGAACATGAAGGTAACCGAAGGATATATTAAAAGAGGGGGAGTGACCATTTCCCATACATTCTGAAGAGATTTGTTTAAAATAGCGGTTCTCAACCTTCTTAATGCTGTGACCTTTTAATACAGTTCCTTGACCTCCAACCATTTTTTTTTTTTTTGCTACTTCATAACTGTTACGAAATGTGGGCCAGAAATGTGGGCCAGGCGGTGGTGACGCACACCTTTAATCTCAGCACTGGGGAGGCTCTCTGTGAGTTCAAGGCCAGCCTGGCCTACCAGAGCTAGTTTCAGGACAGGCCCCAAAGCTACTGAGAAACCCTGTCTCAAAACAAACAAACAAACAAAAGAAACCACATAGCTGTTATGAAGTGTAATAATATGCAGAATATTTGATATGTGACCCCTGTGAAAGGGTTGTCTAACCCTTACCCCACAAAGAACCGCTGATTTAAAATACTGTGTTAGCTTGGAGATGTAGCTCAGTGATAGAATGCCTGTGGAAGGGGCAGGGGTGAAAGAAAGAAAAGAGAATTTGGAGAGAAGGCTTAGTGGTTAAGTTGTTCTTGGAAAGGGTTAGACTTTGGTTCTCAGCAGGCACATGGTGGCTCATAACTAACTGTCTGTAACTCCAGTTCCAGAGATCTGACACCCTCTTCTGGTTTCTGTAGACATTCTGTAGATGTGGTACACAGACATACATACCAGCAAAACACCCATATACAAACACTAAAAATATATAAATCTAAAAAAACTTTAAGAAAAAAAGAGTTGTAATACTCCAAATTCTTTTCACATCTCTAGACAAACATATAATCCCACCACTGAGAGATCCCAAGTGTTAGTATTTTCACATACCTTGCAAGCTTAAGATTTTTTTCATAAGACTTTTCCGTAGGAAGAGCTATTTAAGTTTTTGCTTAAAGATTTTTCAAAAACACATTTTAATCCCGTATCTGAATTATAAAAATAGCTTTAGAATTAGAAGAACCAGGGAGATTAATACATAAATTAAATACATGGGAAAGAAAAATACAGTAATAAAAGATTCAGGTTTATACATTCATTTAAAAAAATAAGTCTATGTTCAACTGCAATCCTCTCCCCAAGATTTGACCATAATTCTTTTATTTTTAATTTAAAGTTTAGCTTACATATATGGATGTTTTGTTTATATTATGTTTGTGTACCACTTGTATGCCTGATGTCTGCAGAAGCCAAAAAAAGTCATTGGCACTGGAGTTTAAGAACAGTTGTGAGCTGCCATGTGGGTGCTAGGAATCAAATCTGGGTCCTCTGGAAGAGCAGCTGGCACTCTTAACTGCTGAGCCATTTCTCCATCTCCCACATTTTTTTTTAAATTTGTGAAGCAAAATATGTTTGTGATGGCATAAAGTGTTTAATTCATAAGAAAATATATTACAGGATTAAGAACTATTAATAAGTAGTTGGTGAAGGTCATTAAGTACACAATACTGTTGGTTAGGGCTAGTATTCTGCTTTCTTTTTTAGTTCATCGAAGGAAAATTATTAAATTTTACCTTCAGCAGAGTAACCCTTATGTGTCCCTACTGTAAGCAAAATAAGAGCTTTTGTGTATGTAGTTTATTTACTGTTCCTAATTTTATTCTGAAAGCCAGATTTACCCAGACTGTAATTACCACATTAACTTTGTGCTGCATAGTTGTGTATTCTTCAAAGTAGTAGTACAGCCATCAGGTTCTAGTCACTTGAGCTTAGTAAAAATGCTCATTTATTAATAAATATATCTAATGATATTGGCCAATGTATAGAGTCTACGTTCTAACAATGTAATATATGAAAATAATACATAATTAAAATAAACCAGTACTAATAAATAATAAGTAGGGTATAGTATAAATAAATTTATACAGACATGCACATATATCTCTATTCTTTTTAGTCAGATGGAGTTCTTAACACCTTAACTTTACCTGTCTAAAGCTGAAGATTAAGTTCATCGCAAGGCCATATTGTCAGTGATTTGTACTTTGCTTTGAACAACGGCTTACTGAGGGTATATTTTATAAATCATCAAGGTCAACAAATAGGAGTCAGTGATGACAGTTGTTTGAGTTAGGAGGCACTGATCCTTTGCATTGACATTCTTTTTAAATCTCTTATGTGAGGATTACATCATTTCCCCTTTCCTCCTTGCTCCAAACCTTTCCATACACCTTCCCTTGCTCTCTTTCAAATTCATGGCTGCTTTTTCATTAATTGTTGTTGCATTTATGTATGTGTATACATATATATATTCCTAAATATAACCTTCTCAGTCAACAATACAATGTTAGTTGTATGTGTCTTTTCTGGACCGACCATCTGGAATTGGATAACCAGTTGGTGTACTCTTCCCTGAGAAAGACTGTTTCCTCCCACTTTAAGCTTTCCTTAGTTCTTTATGTAGGGTTGAGGCCTATAATCAACCCTCACCCTTCCCCCATCCACTGTGGTATATCTTTTGTTGTCCATGTTCAGCTCATGTTGGTGAGATTCTATGGGTGTAGTTTCTGACATTACTAGGAGACATGATCTCACAGCAAACTTTCTAATCCTCTGGCTCTTAAAGTCTTTTTTCTCCATCTTCTCCAAGGGCCCTTGAGACTTAGGTGTGGGGACTTGTTTTCTTGATCTATCCATTGGAACTGGACCCCACAACTGCACTTTGGTTGTGGTCTTTTGTAATGGTCTTCGTCTACTACAACAAAAGTTTCCTGATGAGGAGTAAACACTACACTTGCCTGTGGGTATAAGGACAAGTATTTAGAATGTGGTTAGAGATTATGCTGGTTAAGTAAAGTGATGGTTATAGGTTCTTTTCCAAGATCCATGACTTCTCTAGCCCCAAGTACTTGGCTAGGTTTCCAGTACCAAGCATGATTTCACTCTTGTTGAACAAGTCTTAAGTCCAATTGCAGAACTGTTGGTTACTGCCAAGAGATGAGTGGCACTACTGACCCTTAGGATTATCATGCCATATTGGTTGTTGATGTCATTCATAATTGTCATGGCTGGTTAGAACTGTTGTTTGCTTACCTCCTTTGGAAGCTTTCATGGTGATTTCTGGTATTAGTCCTCAGGGAAGAAGCATTCAGGTCATTTCCAGCCCAGGAGCCTCTGGGTCCTGTGTTAGAAGTACATGGTGTTTCCAGTAATAGGAACTTACCTACTTCTACCTCTAGGATTAACCAATGGCAATAGCAATAGTTTGTAATATTTGGAAACCCTCCTGGACACTTCCTGGTCAGGGCCTGCTCTATGGATTATGTTTTTTATTTTTATTTTTTTCTCATCGTGAGACTTCTTTTTTTTATATACATTTTAAAAAAATTTTATTGCTTTATAAATACGGCCATTCAAAATTTCCACTTCCTCCCCTCCTCTCATTTCCCTCCTGCTCCCCCACTCACCCTTCCTCTTCTTCCTCCAGTCCTAAGAGAGGGCAGGGTACCCTGCCCTGTTGGAAGTCCAAGGCCCTCCCCCCTCCATCCAGGCCTAGGAGGTGTGCATCCAAACAGACTAGGATCCCTAAAGCCAGTACATGCAGTAGAAACAAATCCCAGTGCCATTATCATTGGTTTCTCTGTCTGCCCCAATTGTCAGCCACATTCAGAGAGTCCGGTTTGATCTCATGCTCCTTCAGTCCCAGTCCAGCTGGCCTTGGTGAGTTCCCATTAGTTAGGCACACTGTCATAGTGGGTGGACCAACCCCTTGCGGTCCTGACTTCCTTGCTCATCTTCTCCCTCCCAACCCAGACCCAAAAAGATGAATATGGTATGTATTCACTCATTAGTGGATTCTAGCCGTAAACAAAGGACATTGGGCCTATAGTTCACGATCCTAGAGAAGCTAAATAATAAAGTGAACCCAAAGAAAACCATATATAGATCCTCTTGGAAATTGGAAGCAGATAAGATCGCCTGGCAAAAGTTGGGAGCATGGGGGTGAGGGTGGGGTGGGGGAAAGGGGGAAAGGGGAAGAGAGAGGGGAGAATTGGGGAGAGTTTGGGGGAATGGGATGGTTGAGATGGAGGAAGGACAAATATGGGAGCAGGGAAGAAGATATCTTAATTAAGGGAGCCATTTTAGGGTCGGCGAGAGACTTGGCTCTAGAGGGGTTCCCAGGTGTCCACGAGGACATCCCCAGCTAGGTCCTTGGGCAGCAGAGGAGAGGGTGCCTGAACTGGCCTTATCCCCTAGTCACACTGATGAATATCTTGACTATCACCCTAGAACCTTTGTCCAGAGATGGATGGAGATAGAGACAGAGACCCACATCGGAGCACTGGACTGAGCCCCCAAGGTCCAGTTCTTTTTATTTATTTATTTATTTAAGTCAAAGTATCCTCAAAGGGCAGAAAAGATAGACAGGGTACACTTACTAAGTCGTTTTTCTAAGGATATGAATCCCATCATGTGGTTAATTACCTCCTAAGCATTAGCCTCTTAATGCTGGTGTGTTGGGAATTTAATTTGAACAAAAGTTTTAGGGAAGTTCTGGTTTAGTTTTGAACTTGATATGTCAAAAGATAGTCATTCAGGTATGTTGGTGCACACCTTTAATCTCAACACTCAGAAAGCAGAGATAAACAGATCTCTGTGACTTTAAGGCCAGTCCAGGCTATAGAGTGAGACCCTGCCTTTAAAAAAAAAAAGCTTATTTTTAATGAATTTTTAATACACAGAGTGTGCCATAGAAAACTTTTGCCGGTTTGATATTGTTCTGCATGGTATCTTTTCTCCAGGGCCTTTCTTGTCCCAGGTTCTTAGTTTTACAAACATGCTGGAGTATTTTTCATGCCCCTAAAGGTCTCAACAACAGGAGAGTGCTGTTTGGATTCAGTGCTTAGAGCCGGTGCTGTTGTGCTTAGGGGAGGTTGAGGATTTGGTAGCTAATAGGGTTTCAGCAAATTATATACTAATAGCAGATAACGAGTTAGTCACCAGTGATAATGAAGATGCAAGCATGCACGTTGACATTCTGTCTTGCACCATTCCAGTGTTAACGTTGAGGATGACTTTGGCATTATATGGGTCTTTATTTAGGCAATGCTTTGACTATAAATAATTTTTCCTTCTGTCGTCATTTCCAGTTTAATTGAAAACAGATCAGATGACTTAGGAAAAAACAAGGTGTGAAACAGTTATATCTTCCTTATGCAAAAATAAACATAAGTTATTGCATTATACTACTACAGCAGCGGCTGTGAAATAAAGAGCGGTGCATGTGTAGTATAGTATTGCTTTAACTGTAGGAAATGGAGGGGAAGATGAAGAGGTGAAAGGAGCACGTGGAGTTGATGAAGATTGATCTATTTAGGCAACAACCAGAGTTCATTCCATTAGTATGTTCATTGATTTATTCATTCCCCCATCTACTAGACATTTATTGTGTTCTAAGACAGGAAGTATACACATGAATTATACTTGGGAGCACCAGAATCCACCCTCTTAAAGATGCTCCAAGTAGGAGGAAGTGAGAAAGGCCTTGAGTTTTGTTGGCTGTCACTTGATGTGGCTGTACTAGGATAGGGCTGAATAGTCAATTTGGTTGTTTGCTAGCCAGTGAACTAACTACCATCTACCAAAGATTTTAACTAGGGACAGCTGTAGAAAGGCATAACCATAGGTCATTGATAAGCTTGTCAAGTAATTGTATAGTTTGACAAGAAATATATCTTTGGATATAGCAAGTATATCCAAATATATCTTTGGATATAGCAAGTTAGGATTTGGAAATCAAATCTGCCATGGCACTTTGTGATTTTTTTCAGAATGACAATAGGCATGTGACATCCCTGTGTTCTTTGACCCATGAAAGGTTAGCTAGTTGAGGTTAACGCCGGAATTAAATGCCAAGGGCAGAATGCCTAGGACCTTCTTGTACCCCAGGGCAGGGGTTTGTCCTTCTGTCGAAATTTTTTCCCCCACCTTCATAGAAGATGGCTATCTTTGTATATGGTTGGGTTAATTTGTCATTTTATTCTTATTATCTTATTAGTTCTAAAATAGTAAATTCTGGTGTGAGTCAGTGCCACCGTTTTGTAAAGAGTGATTTTGTGTGTTTGTGTATGTGTTTTAACTTTATTACAGAAGCTTCCATTTCTCAGTGTTTAGTAGAATAGCAACTTGCTTTATCTTATCTCTGTGTTAGCTTGATTATTCTTGAGAACTTTTTTTAAGCTTGTAAAAAGTGAGTAGTGTTTCTAGCATTTATAAATTATGTTGTAATTTATCATATGTGCAAAGGGGAAGTAAATTATTTGTACTGCTATACTTAGGAAGATAAAACTTGAGAATAATCTAAGAAAAATATATTAAGAGGGAGCTTTAAGATGACATAATGAGAAAATGAAATGTTAATCATAATTGCTTAGACTGCATTTGATAATTTAGCATGGTTCTGAAATATAGTCAATAAAGTGCAGTTCATGGTGAAATTGTCAGGGAGGATAAGCATTTCCTCTACCTTAGTTTCAGGCCTTGAGGGGACTGCAAATGAGATTGTCATAGAAATGTGAGGAATAAAGTCGTGCATAGAATTTGAGGCTAACCAATTAAATGGTAAGGAGTAAGTGGGGAAGGGGCACTTCCGGGGAAAGTCATTTATTACTTTTGTGGAATGACAAATGAACTCTTACAATATGTGGAAAATAACAAAGATTTGTGATGGTGTCTCTTTTGTGTGGTAGTAAGAGTCTAGTAGAATTAGCCTCAGTAAGGAGATTGTTGGTAATTGAGGTATTTTGGTGGTATTTGCTTTACTGTTAGGCAGATAAGAGACTTCCAAAACTGAAAGCTTTCAACTCCAAATACTTTTGGAAAGAAAAGTTTTTTTTTTTTTGGACCATAATAATATATTCTGGACTTTCAGAATATATTGGCACTGAAATTTTCTGTCTCTCTCTCTCTCTCTTACACACACACACACACACACACACACACACACACCTGCAAAGAGCAGTTATAGAGAGTAAAGGGTAACCCGCATGTCATAATTCAGAATTTTTATTTTTTTCATTTCATTGACAATTCACTAGGCGCAGAATGCCTTAAATAAGCCTGTATAAAACTAATCAAGAGGATGCATTCTTGCTCTGTAAATTAAGGCAGTCATACTTTATGTTTTTCCCTACAAGTGAGTATAGGCTTGGTTATACTTTAGATCATATCCCTTCAAGTTGTAAGAGCATATCAGGAAGGCCTTTCTGGTTGAGATGGAATCACAAGCTCTGTTTGACATTACTTAGTGAGCATTTCTGAGTGTGAAGATCATTTGATGTGATATTTCATAGAATTCGATTGTAACAAAACAAAACTTACTACTTGTTATGACTAACACAGTGTCTGGACAGAAATGGAAACTGGGCAATTTACAGAATTAAGTTCTAGCTGTTTTGTATTGGCAGCAGATGTGGCCTGTAATCTGAGACACTGAGCCTGGGAGAGTTGGCAGCAGTTGTTAGTGAGCAAATATGGTGAGTCTAGAGCAGTTACACCAGAAGTCACGGAGAGAGCCTGACACTGAGAAGCAGAAGTGTCCTTCAGTGGTGTTCAGTGGGGCAGCTCAAAATTCTTCTTCCATCTATGTGTTCTTACCCTGCAGTGCTTATGATAAAGCGGCAGTAATGGCCCATTAAGGAGAAGCTTAATGGCCAAGCTTAATGGAATGACAAATGAACTCTTACAATATGTGGAAAATAACAAAGATCAAGAGAAAAAAGTCTCTTGTCTTTTCTCCTCCTCTTTCTCTACTCTTCTTTCCCTCCTCTCCTACTGGGAATTAAACCCAATGACTCCTCATACTTTCAAGGTAACCATACACCACTGAGCTGTACTCTAGCCTGTGGAGTATTTATTTCTTGGTATTGCCTTGTGTGAATTTTGAAAATATTTTTTAAAAAAATTTCACCACTTTTCAACATTGACATGGAATTCCAACCCCTTTGAGATGAGAAAGAACAGTCATCCAAATTGGGAAGAAAGGGAAAATGATCCCTGAACATTGATAACATGACCTTGTTTATCTAAAAATCCTAATGACTATACACCAAAAATTAAAATAGTAAATGAACTCAGCAAAGTTACCAGATGTAAGATCAACACATAGAGTACTAGCAATTT